TTATCTATTCGCAAAGAAATTTGGCTTAGTAATTTTGTGAACAATCAAACTTGAACTTTAATGCTTGTCCTTATTCACTGAATTTGCAAAGAAGTTTGGAATTTAGGGATTTAGTCATAGAAAATCTCTGCAACGAAAGTTTGTGCTAACAATTTTCAATAAGATAGATGATAATATTGCATGATCTTGATTCTTAAGTTTTAAAAAAGCTTTCACCACTTCCATTCATTTTTACTATGGACGACTTGAAACTCCTGCTAAATTCAAGAGGTGTTGAAAAATAACAGTTTTGCATCTGTGAGTTAATTATATTTAGTTATTTACTACTTTGCCGTTAGTTTCATAACATTCGAGTAACCCCATTGGACTTGTTATTGCTAAAACTTTTTTGTTTTCCTGCAGTTAAATACATAGCTAAGGAATTCTCATACATATGCAAAAATATACACCTAAAAGTTAAATTTCTCTTTCCTAGTTTTTCCTTAATCCTTGAGTTATCTTCTGATTCTCTTCCTCAAAATGTCACCAAGAATTATACATTTCCCAATGGCTAAAAGAGCATAGTAAAAGTTCAAGGATTTACTCGGATTTGAACATTAGGTCGCATGAATTCGAAGCCTTGACCACACTAGCCAACTCCTTGAGCATCTCACCTCTCTTTTTCGACTTTTCGAGCTCTTCTGGTTTGATGGGTTTTGTGGAGAAAGTTATCTTCTTCAACTGTCCTGCGTTCTTTAGGATGTACGTGGCCACTTCTTTATCATTTTCTTGTTGCTGTTGGAAGAGATAAAGAGAAAGAAAATAAAATATGAAAAACTCTCTTTATTCTCAACAAGTTTACATGACTACAATTGACACACTTATATAGATATACAATAGACACAAGTGAAGAGTTGTGTCTTTTACCCTTTGTGACTTTTAAACTAAATAACTACCTTTCTTCTTTGACAAGTTACAACTTTTGCATACTCCCTCACGTACATGTATTATGTGACAATACATTTAAACTCAATTATAAACTAACACTCCCCCTTAATTGAGTTTCCGTCTCACATTAAGATGCTTTAGTTGTCCTTAGTCTTTGGTTTCTTTACAAGATACCAAACCTTCTTCTTCTCGATCATTCAGCTACTTCATCCATGGCTTCTCTCCATTCTCCAATTTCAGAGGCTTTACCGTATGAGCTTAATCTTTTCACTCCACCATTTGTGAGGTCTTCTCTCCTTCGTCTTCTTCAAATGTCACCATTTTTGACATCTTCTTCTTAGCCTATGTATTTCCACATTGTTTTGTAATTGACACCTTGTCAATTCTTTCTTCTTCAGACATTAGAACTCTTGGGTTTTCTCTTACATATGAGCCTTCTCCATGTCTCCATCAAGTCTCTCGTGGACTTTCCTCACGTCTCCTTGACGTATCTTCTTCGGTTATCTTTGTAAGCGGTTCCCATTTCAGACATTGGAACTCTTTGGGTTTTCTCTTACCCGCGAGCTTTCTCCATGTCTCCTTGAAAGTCTTTCATGGACTTTCATCACGTCTCCTTGATGTCTTAAACGTGAATCTTCTCCACGTCTTCTTCGGTTATCTTTATAACTGGTTCCTGCTCCCTCTTTCTCTTAGGTAAGCAGCCTTTTCCTTGCTTGGTGTCTTCCTTCGATCAGCAGCCTGTTTCACTTTGAGAAGTCTTGCTATGTTTCTTTTCAACATGCGACCTTCTCCGTGTCTGTTGATTCAAGAGATCGACAATGAATTTGTCATGGAAAGAGGTTCAGAGATTCTCGATAAATAAGTCGGAGCTCGGTGTTTGCTTTGTGGACGAATTAGAATTTAAGTGGTTTATATA